GTAAGAATTTTGACCATTGAACAATTATTAACCCAAGCATGACATCATATACCCAACTTTAGCAAAATAGCTTGCGGGCTCCAATGGACTTTTGACTTGCCCTTTGACTTGCCCTTCACTTTCATTTATTTTTTTAGTTTTTCTCCCTTTTGCCATTTCAATAAATTAAAATACTCTGGGAAAAAGAATTGGCTTAAATTTAAACATTTTCTTTCTGATAGTATTTCTTTCAATTAATCACTGTTTTCACTGAATAAAACTTCCTATCTTCAACAATCACAGTAATCGACACATATAATTAAAATAATCGTCGATTAAATGGATTTATTTAATTATGTATCAAAAAATTGATACAAAATTAAATCCATGTCAAAACTGAACGGACTAAAACCATTTCTCATGTTACTAAGATGGAACAAAACACTAAAAATTTTGTAATAAAATCATAATTTGATCGGAAAAAACAACATTCAAACTATTAAGAGATCAAAACGAGATTTAGTAGATGAAAGAAGACTATTTCCAATTTAGGCATACCATAATTCTTGACAGTTTGATGAAGGAAAGGAGCAACATATTGCGTAATGTCATCACTGAGGGGCATAGGCTTGGATCTTGCTTGTCTGCTCATGGCGAAGCTCTCTTTGATATCTCCAGACAAAAACCTGTAAGAATTGCCAGTAAGACCCTGTTGCCTCAGGCGCCTTTCCAGCCTCTTTGGCTTCACCCACACCCAGTCTAAGATTCTCCATCCCCATATCAATATCCCAACAACAAGGAAAGAAAGCAAAATTCCAATTACAGGGGTAACCTCCATGTTTCTTTGATGAGAAAATGGTGTCTGAAGAGTAAGTGGGGTGTTTACGAAACCTTAGACAAAGACTGAGGTGGTTTTATGCGGTAAAATGCGCGTGCAATGGGCAAAGACAAATGGTTGATGTTACAGCTGATAAGAAGTTACTGGTGTCAAGGCAGGCGACGTGTACCACGCCTTTCTAGGACAATTGTGCCTTTTAATTTGATGGATAATTTTTTCTGTTAATTCCTGATGTCTTTCCTTCTTTACATTTAATTTTAGATTATGTAATCAAAGATGAATATCCTATCCCAATTTAGGATTTAAACCAGATCCCTTCATTTAGAGATAAATAATCTTAATTTTGTGCCCCAACTCTATTGCCTACTACCCTACTATGCAATTTTAACATGCCAATACTTTCCTTTTCTCCCATGTTGATTTGATTTAATGTGAAACAAATGGCACTTTTAAAGTACAATCAATAGCTTTGAACTCTAATAATAATGCATCAATCTTGTCTATGACAATAAACTAAGCCACATCAATCACAACTTGTTCTATTTCCTCCAATAATAGACTTGGGCATAGTGTCTTGCATCATGACATGAGCACAATCCAAAAACTAGTAGATAAATATGAGCATTTTGCTATGGGTTATGGATAAGAAAGTTCATCTTAGTCTGGTAGGCAACTGATGGGGGAAGATATGTGAATTTTTGTAAGTAATTGTGTCATGGCACCATAGATAAGTGTCTTTGGTTTATTACTTGAAAATGGTAATCTTTGGTAAAGCTTTATTATGATATCAAATTGTCTTTCAAAAAAATAAATAATTAAGCATTTTAGAGTACCAAAGTTCTTAACTAGCTATGGCATTAGAGAGTCTTTGGCTTAGCTCTTTGAAGAGTTATTATTATTATTATTATAAAAGCAAAGAACAGTGTTTGGCTTTCAAAGTAAAAACAAAAACTGGACCAAATAAGGATTTGAGAAGCTTGTCAATAAAATAACTCTTTTTCAAAGAACAAAATTTAAAAAAAGTTACAAAAAAAGCTCCACTAGGAGCTTTCTTCTTTTTTTTAAAAAAAATAACATTTTTTTTTGTTCTAAAAAAGTCCACATCTATTAAAAATAATCTCAACATTACCCTCTAAAAAAATACCCTCTTTCAATCCCAACATGCCTGGTTTTTATAGTTGCAAAAATTTGTTTTAAATAGATGAAAAAATAATGTTAATTTTTTTTCATTGTGAATAAAAAAAATTTGTGATTAATATAAAATTAATTATTAAATACTCTTTATAGAACTTTTAACAAAAATTAGAACTTATATAAGTTATTTTACCAAATAGCTTATTTATAAAAATAAATTTACTAAACAGTTTTAACTTAATTTTAAAATTATTATTTTTGATAATAACTTTTAAGTCAAAAAACATAATGCCAAACAATCTCTAAATGCACTTGCAATAAATCCCATTTCTATGGACATTTACAGGGAGTCTGTGATTGCACCGGCCATAATCAGGAATCATGCACCTAACAGTTGGAGGAAAACACAAGGTCATGGACTTCAATAGCTGGAATATGAATATTGTTGTAATATGCCATAAAACCATAGCAACAGTTTGTTATGATATTGGGTCCTCAAGGCCTAAAAGCTTCTAGTTTCACTTTTCTCTGTTAGGTAATCTGGTGAGCAAACATATGATGCAGGAATTTAGAGATTCAACTTCTCCCCAAGCGCATAACAAACCCATCCTGCTAAGGCTTGAGCACTCATGGAAGGGCAATCATGAGCTGCAATTACAAAGCACTTGTCACAACCAAGCTAAGATCAGATATTACGTATCAGACCAAGGCAACTTCTTAAGCATTTTCAAAATATGTATACCTCGAACGTATTCAGTGATAAGGCTCTCAATTTCACAACCTCTGATCTTCCCAATCTAATCAATTTTCATTTCAAACACATCAAATGAGTTTCAAATTAACACATGAAAAAAGTACGGATAGGATGAAATATCTAATATCTGTAACCTACCACAAAAACATAATTTGTATTTGGGGCAAAGGAATAGTTGTCCATGCTAGGTAAATGATTGAATTCCTCTCCACAGACCCAACCTGATAATATCAAATTACATAATGTTTAAAGGAACCTAATGACTAAGTTAACAAGGAAAAGGTTTAAAAAATTAACCTATCACAGTGAATCCAGGAAACAATTCACTTGGTTTATAATAGATCTCGCGAAAAACGGCAGGCTCACCAATTTTGCGAACCAGTCCTCTTTGAAACAAATCTTCTGTGCATAATCTATAATTATAAACATGTGTAATGAACAAAAAGAAAACGAATCATCCCAACAATAGAATGAAAATTACCCATATGTCTCTGAAATTCTCTTTCTTCAAGATTTACAAAATCAATATTCCCTGCAAGATTAGGGAGCATTCGATACAGTCCTCTTCCTTTAATATTGAGATAGATATGGCTAAGTCTGCCACACTGTGTCAGACGGGACTGCAGCAACTCCTTAAGAACCTAAGGTAATCAAAACCGAAATTTGTGTTTGTTAGGTGAAAAAAAAACATAGGGGAAAACTGGGTTATAATTAAAAGAATTAGTTGAAATATCGAACCCCTAAGTGTGCTTTGGCAGCGGATGCTGAAGAGCTGGGTGTGGGTGACCTTGCCTGCAAGAAAGAATGGGAGATCACGCTGTTACATCCATTTTCTTGCGACGCAAGCAAAATGTTTTCAATAAGCAAAACAATAAACAAGGCATATCATTTCTCTTCTTTCTTTGCTGCTTTAAGTTTTTATACAGTTCAAGAAACCAAATATAACAGAGAACTAAACCCTAGGAACAACAAGAAAACCGGAATAACAGAGAAAATAGAGAAGGGAAAGAGAGATATTGTAAAATTACGTCGTCTTCAACAACAAAGCGATCAAGCACGAAGGAAAACAATATACAAAGCCTATACATTTCTCATTTTTCTTTGCAGCTTTAAGTTTTTGAATAGCTCAAGAAACCAAATTTAACAGAGGCTTAAACCCTACTAGTAACAACAAGAAAACTGGAAAAACGGAGAAAATAGAGAAGGCAAAGAGAGAGACTATTACGTCGTCTTCAACATCAAAGCGATCAAGAAAGAAGATAACGGGACGCCCCTGACTCGCTCCATGATCTATGCACGTATTATGACTAGTTTCTCTGATGGTCTCTCTGGCTCCTTGATCCATGCACGTATTAGGACTAGTTTCTCCGGCGGTCTTTCTCAAGTTCAGAGATGTCATGACTAGTTATTCCGATGGTCTTTCTCAAGTTTCGAGATGAAAAGATAATGCAAAAGAATGAGTTCTTAGCTATTTATACACGTGAAAATAAGAAGTCACAGACTAATAAATACTTCTCAATTTTGATATTCACTTTACTTTATTAGACGGTACAAAATAAAAAATGTTCTTAAATTATTTAAGAAGTATAAATAAGATTTTTTTATTACTTTCAATCAATATTTTATATGTTTCATTTTAAATTAATTAACTTTTTATAATTAACAGTTAAATATCTATTATTAGTTAACATGTCAATTGATCTAAAAATGAAATGACAATTAATACTTTAATTAATAGTAATTAATCAACCATTAAACATAAAATCACATTTAGTTAAAAACAAAAATACAAGATTTAATTAAACCAAATAAAAAATAAAAATTTATTTAAAAATGTTTAAATAATTCAAAAACTTTTTAAAACATTATATTATACCTTGTTAAGTTTACTACATGCCTAACTATCTAAAGCTTATATGTTTACCAACCTTTAGGTAGCAATTTTTTTTTCATATATAGCTATTTAATCATGTCTTAATTTGTAATTACCAATAAACACAAAATTTAAGACTTGATTATTATCCAAATTAATTCCTAATCGATTGTAAAGTTATGAAAGGATAGCTATCACATCGACTTTTTCCAATTCCATTTCATTAGTTCCTCAGTCCCATAGGATAAAATTCAACTGTATTATCTCTGTTGGTGCTTGTAAAGCAATGGTAATATTAGCTATTCATGATAGTAATGATATGATAGAAGATATATATGAATGCAGTTAAAATATAATCTTAAAAAAAAAAATGGTAGAAAGAAACCAAGGTTCCAAAGATTTCAGCAAGTAAGCCATCGGATCATGAGGTTTCTCATACATAGGAAACCCAAGGTGTTTGAAAAATATCAATATCACAAACAAAAAGGACTCTTTTACAAAACTATTTGAAGTGAAAGATGAAGAGGATGTTCATAGGATCTTCCATTTGCTCTCCACACATTCTAGCACTCATCCGACCCCTATAAACTTCATGCACAAAGTCAAGTCCATGTCACTAAAATTGCACAGATTATTGCACATGCACAGAGTCCTCTGAATCCCAGTGTGAAGCAAGATCAATTCATGTACCACAGATTAACTATAAAAAAGAAATGAAATTCATGAACAGACCATATAGTCACCGCAAACTATGCCAGCAATCAATACCTGCCCCTTCAAATAAAAATGAAAAATGTATGCAAGGGATTGATTGGGTTCAGTAATTCTTTTCTTTTTAGAAAAGCTGATGATGAGTGGTTCGACCGTGAGCTTATTGCTTCCCAAATTGGTTTGGAAAATCCAAAGGTAGTTTCCAGATCAAAGCTCCAACCCTTCAGAGTTCAAACACTATGAATTTTTGGTGTAAGAAAAGCGTCCAGGTCTTAAATCTTCAGCCTAAATGAACCCAAAGCCGAATACATTCATATATTTTGAGTCCAATATATTATAAGGATTCATTGAATGTATAGGTTAATGATTTTTTTGCAAGAGTATATTGCCACCTACATCTAGCATGAGTGAATAGCCATCAAACTTTTATTTTTTTTTTTGGATAAGTGAATATCCATTGATCTTCATGCCTTCACTAAAGAGCATCTTTGAGTTGTACGCCATTAATCAATTAAAATCCAGAGAAAAAGGTTGGGAAGCTACTACATGCATGTTCAAGCATAAAGCGCTTAATTATAACAAACATAATGGAAAAGGCATAACCTGATATGAGATCATCTACATAGTCAGCATCAGTTTTTCCATGAGCCATTGCACCAACCTATAAAAATATACTCGTTTTCCAGGTAAGACAATAGAGACATAAAAAAAATTCTAAAAACCATGATGAAAGTGAGATTCAATAGCTTAGAGAATACCACAAAAACAAGGTTCTCGTCGTCACTAATACCACCAACATAGTCCTTTAGACAAACCAATTTGTTTGAACTATAAGAAAGACCTACAAAGCAACAATGCGTTAGCTTCAGAAACACATTAATGGAAAAATAGCACATGTTCTGCTTATAACTTGCAGATGCATGTTGCCGAAGTCTGACCTATTTTATGGGAGTTGGCTGGGAGGTGTTGAGTCACAGGATTCTCAACCAAGCGCAAAAGCTTTCCATGTTCATTCGCAGCTTTGACACTGAACTTTTGCAATAACTCTGCCGTAGCAATAAACATATGTTAACAAGCTGACGTAGAAGAAAAAAATGAGAACTAGAATGCAGCATCACCTAAATAATGGTTGATAATACTCAATTTCATTTCTCTTAAGAATTTAATAGCAAGAACCAAACATATTACTAAGATAATAAAACCATCAAGATAATAAACCGGGACTCACCCATCATATTCCGAAAACGTTGTGGTGTCCTTGGTATCTGAGTATTTGGTTCAACTTTAATCAAAACCCCTTCATCCGTCTTCACATATACTGCTTGTTTCCTACCTGACTTGCAGAGTCGGCTATCTGTAATTCTACATTGCACCTGAGCGTATTACATAAATATTAAAACAATGATAGACAAACAGCATGTATATCTAACATAAAAATACGTATTGGGATTCACTTTTGATGAAAAGCAACTAAAAGTGCCACTTCTAAACATCCCAAACAAAAAAGTGACATGGTACTACAATATTTCATCATCTATGTCAACATTACGTGAGTATAACATGAAAAGTGGTATTTTTAATTAATAACAATTAGCCCATTGTTCGCTATAAATACTTATTTAATTTAAATAAAAATATGAAAATTTAATTGAATGTAATAGAAAAATAATGACTTATTTAAGATTTTCTTAAACAGTTTAAAAATTTTTCAAGTATTATACCATTTATATTTAATACATGGTCAATATATAAATTTTATAAATTATCAATGAATAAACAAATATAAAATTTTACAAGTCTTTAAAAATAAATATACATAAACTTTATTTTTTTCTTTTAATTTTCGCTCTATCGTCCATTTCAGCAGAAGGGAAAGCAAAATCAATTTTGGTTACTGTTATTTTTGTCAGAGTCTAGATTGTGGTTAATGAGAATTTGATCTGGTTGAAAAAATTAAGTTTGGAAAAGGCTATATATGTTGGAGCCCTGAACCCATGGAAGTAGATCATTATCGAGTTTTGGAGGCATTTATTTATTTTGAAAAGCATTAGAGTTTTATTATGATATAAAGTATACAGGCTAGCATTTGGCCTGTGCTTACAAAGTTGGAATCTTTATTTCCCTATTACACAACCATACATCAAAATCACCCTACACCTTGCACCCCTGCTGCTCAAACTGTTATAACAATGCTTCAGAATGGAAGCATTTATTCTTTTGCATCACACTAGATGTGAGAAGGGTCAATGTGGTTGGTGCACAAGTGATGTTGCACTAAGCTAATAAAACTATTTACTATTAAGAACTGTTAAGAAAACCTAAAGGTATTTACTATTAGGAACTTAAATATAAGTATGTTAATTGTCTTAAAACTAATCTGAGCGTTATACAGATCACAAGCTTATAATTTCGTTAAGTTCAACATATGATGAGTATTGATTAAAATGGAAAGAAAAACATAAACATCCACCATTGCTAGTGGAGCTTCCACTTGTTTGCTAGTGCTATGCGGATCAATGCTGTACTGTATGCCGCACTCAATGGGTAATCAGAAACTGCAGCAACAAACCGCAACTTGCCTTGGTCAGCAGCAAAAACATTATATATCTCTGAGATATAGCAACTATATGATCCTCAATCAGAAAAAATAACATGAAAATTAGAAACATTCCATCTTATTAAGCGCCATATATGTATGATAATTACTTGATTAAGTCAATTACAAAAGACCACAACACTTGGTCTTTAACAATTTGGAGAAATAGATAATAGCATGAAAATATAGAGTTTCTCTTCATTCAACAATCTACTATATAATCAGTTAAATGAAAAGAATACTATATAATCAGTTAACCCCAAACATTCAATTTAAAAGGGAAAAAGAAAAAAAGCATGAAACTCACCAACTATAAGAGAGTTGGAAGGTAAAAACTGTGTCAAAGGCCAGTCAAGTTGTTGAATAAGCACTTCATTTGTCTCTGGGATTCGTACACGTTTTCTTTCCAACAGCTCCAGCATGATGCCATAGAAGCGTTCGTGTGTTTTAGGAATACGAACGAGTAGTTCGACCTGAAAGAGAAGTCCATCGTCAGTTTTCACATAGATAGCTCTTACCCTATTGTTATCGTTAAGCCGACTATCGAAGATTTCTTTGAGAACCTAACCATGCAAAAAGGGGATTAAAACCCCTTAAGCAAAGCAAGATGGAAACATGATAAGACTGAAAAATTGATGATCAACCAACGAACCTAGCTCTAAAATAATGTCAGGCCAATAATCATCAAGGTTCTTCCCTTGTTTCCTTAGGAAATTATCATCTTCATCAGAATTCAAAAGCTTCCGCTTCTAAAACATGGGAAGAGGAATACAATCTAGTTTCATTTTTTTCTTTCTTCTTCCTCACTTTGAAATGCTTCCAAATGATATTTCTTATACTTAAGGAAGTTGTGGAGCCGTTGGATATGAATTAGACAAGAATCTAGCCGTTAAACACAAGTTTGCAATAAATCTAGTCATTAGTGAAGCCTTAGGATTGATTATAACACTCCTAAGATCAACTATGGTTCTTTAAATTTTCAAATTAGGGCCTCTATAGTTGAGTATGATCATCCTTTACTCAATTCTCTTCCCGAGAGCATGCACTTTTGATTTTGGGCATGGATAGTTGGCTACCTTTCTCTGAGGATTGACTAAGGCTTCTCAAAAGTCAGATTTCACGTCCAAGCAGCCATCAGATCGACTACCTCTCTTATAGGATCGACTATGGCTATGTATTTTCATATTTTCTCACCCATTCGGCCACTAGATCGATTTGCCTTATTTTAATATCCATTGGAGCTTTGTTTACTCAAGATTCCTTGTCATTTTAGTTTGTAATTTTGGCCATATTTTCATTGCAATCAAGTGTTTAGCTGAGAATGAATTTCTTGACCTGAGATAACCTTGTTGTTGTGAAGATCAATTATATTGAAAAACTCCACCACTTGTGAACTTATTTTTCAACTTTAACATCTCAAGAGTGAATGTTAGGGAGATTATGAAACCTTGTTCAAGAAAGCTTAATACTTATACAATTAAGTCATTCAAGATTGTAGACATTTATGAAGTGCGTGTGTGGGAGAGTTTAATAACTTCACAAAATCACACAACTAAGATAATCAAGCTTGTAATTATATAAGTGCAAATGTATGAGAGTTAAAATTTTTCAAGAATGTATCAAGCACTACAAAAAACCAAGCTTTTTTCGATGAAATTTTTTGTTGAAAAAAGTTAAAATTTTATTGGAACTTAATTTTTTTGATAAATTTCCAATAGAAAAATCTGTTGAAAATTTCATCAGTAAAAGTATTGTCAGAAGTACCTTCTATTGAAAATCCGTTAGAAAATTTCCAATAGACAATTCCATCAGTAAATTTCATTGGAAAAAGTGCATACTCCGTCAATTTTGTAGGAAAAGTATTTTCCATGGAATTTTGTTGAAAATTTCCAACTAAATTTTTCATGGAATTTTGTTGAAAATTTCCAATGGAACAAAAAATTTCGTTGGAAATTTTTGGCAAAATTTTCATTAGGAATGCATTTCTGACAGAATTCCATAAATTCCATAAGAAAATTTCAATAGAATTTTTCATTCAAAAAGCATTTCCCACAAAATTTCGTTGAAAATTTCCCACGAAATTTCCCACTAAAATGCATTTCCAACGAAAATTTTGCTTGAAAATTTCTGAAAAAATTTTCCATTAGTGATGCATTTCCAACAGAAATTCTTTTAGTAATTTCTAACAAAATGTTCTGTCCATAATGCCTTTTCAACCAACTTAAATTTTGATAATGAATTATCACTTGACATCCATAATTCACATTCAAAATTTATAAGAGAAACATGCATAAAAAATCAATATTCAAAGTTAAGTTCATTCAATTAAAAATCATCATAAGCACACAATATTTAAAAATTCTAAACAAATATAAACATAAAGCTAAATGTGCTATTATATGCCCATACTAAAAAGATACCCAAGTCCAACGACAAAAAAGAGACATCATATCATGAAATATTGTGTTCTTACTTGTCAAGATTTGAGCTTGATATACTCATATTTTCTTGTTTCGAAAGCACATTACTCACGATTATTGCTTCCATATGTGCCATAAATTCACTCATACTTTTCGCCATTGCTTCCATCATATTTGTCATTAAATTGGCATTATTTTCCTTAATTTCCTCACATATCTTATCCAAGTTTTTTGAAAGATTTTTCACTTTTTCTTCCAATGCAATTACAGAACTAGTAGCGTTTGAGTTGATAGGGCCACAACGTGACTTAGATGTTGCTACATTGCTATGTGTTCCATTACGTAGAGCTACAACAGGCATTTAAGTATCAAACCCATACACATGAGTGGGTGTGGTCTCCATCTCTCCGATTACTTTAGTCCAAGCATGTAGTTTGAATTCTGGCTGAAAGGATGAATTTTCACCATACTTCTGCTATAATAAAAAATTATATATTTCTTAGAAAAAAATTAAAAAAGATTAGTATTCAATTATATCATCAACTTTGAAGTAAAAATCAATCAATTTCGTATATACACTAGTGGATTTAGACTTATCTATAAAATCATCGTGACTCGCTAAACGTTTATGAGTGATGTTGAGCACTTCCAAAAAGCTAACATTTCGTTCCATCTCAATTCACTGCATTTATTTTTAACTATATATACTCAATCATAATCCGTATATATAT